CTTTTAAGCAGTGGTGGGATTCAGAAATGTTAGCAACCTCTTCTCTGCATGGTTGCTGGTTGGGCGTGGCCATGGTGGGTGTGGTCTACTCGGCCTCCTGCACCACAGTGGGGGGGGGGGGGGCTTTTTCACCCTCCCCAGGCTCCAGAGGCTTTTTCCCTGAGCCTCCGGGAGGGTGAGAATGGCCCCCCTGGGCTCCTGAGGCCTGTTTTTTGCCCTCCCAGAGCCTCCACGTAGGCCCTGCCCTTACCTGGCATGATGGATGCAAAATTAACACCCGCTTCACCTGAACCGGTGCGAAGTGGCTGAATCCAACCCCTGCTTTTAAGTTTAACATTTGTTACTGGTTTCAGAGCTTTGACCTGGTTGGCAGGGAGATTGTTCTGAAGTTCTTGAACTGAGGTTTTCATCGGGTTTGCCGAAATCTGACTCTGTTGGAGGAGGTCGGGCAACAGGTAATTTTGGTTATTCATGCTCCAGAATTCTTCACGAGCGCCACAGCCGTGTTTCCCTGCAGCATCATCCTGCACCAAACAACAAAATTGAACCCCTAAGTTGCAACCAGGGTTAGAGAAGGTTCCACCCCCCTCCGTTCTCCACCTTTCTTTCTTCCTATTTGTTCCAGCCCTTAGAGAAAACTTCTCCAAACCTCTGTCCTACCTCAAGGCCAACGGAGATACGGAAGGAAAGTCAACACTCTGTGTGGGTCAGGGGAATGGAATACAATCATATGGTGGTGAAAAGGAGACACTGTTGGACCACATGGGCTTTAAAGGACCCTGGGCATGGTCTGTGGGGCTCCTCAGATGTCCATCTTCCACATTGTCCACCAGCCTATCTATTGTCTCAGTTGCCTGAGACCAAGAGACCAAGAAACCCTAGTAGGTCAGGACAAACAGCATTACAACGGGAAGACTTCTGTGTCTCATTGATAGCATGACTCTCTTGTTCACATCTGCAACTGAAAATCCCTTCCTTCCTTCCTTCCTTCCTTCCTTCCTTCCTTCCTTCCTTCCTTCCTTCCTTCCTTCCTTCCTTCCTTCCAGATGTTAGGATGGGGGCTGAGTGGAGAAAGATTTTTCCAGAATGTCCTTAAGGAAGGACTTCCCAAACTTTTTCCTTCACCACCCAAAATCACTTACAAATAAGTTCTTTTTACCACTTATCAGGAAGTCCATATTTAAATGACCCTGTTGCAGTTGAGTGATGGATTCGTGTATCATTACGCACACACACAAAAACCATTTTTTCCTGATTTAGTGTAATTTATGAAGCTTGGGAAGCCCTGCCTTAAACTCTGAAGTGAGATGCAAATCACCATCTTCTTCTTCTTCTTCTTCTTCTTCCTCCTCCTCCTCCTCCTCCTCCTCCTCCTTTTCTGCTTCTTCTCCTTCCTTCTTACTACTACTACTACTACTACTACTACTACTACTACTACTTTTTACTTTTTACTGACAGTGAGTACAATTAATCAGTGGAACAGCTTGGTTCCTGGAGTTATCAGTGCTCCATCACTTGAGGTCTTCAAGAAAATATTGGACAACCATTTGGCCAGGATGATATGCAGTATCCTGCCTTTGGTGGCGGACGGGGGGGGGGGGGGGGGCTGTGGGATTATAAGACCTCCAAGGACTCTTCCAGCCCTAGGATTCTATGATTCTAAAGAGAAAGTCTTCCTTGCCAAATTTTGAGAAAGCAGCAAAGCTACAGCCCCCTTGTTCTTCACAAAGTCTTTGTCAATAAAATAAAAAAAAAGGTCCATTGTGGATTTATCTTGCAGTAGAAATAAACCTTCTTCAGATTGTATTGATGGGCCGCCTTGAATGACAGGAGAAGCGAATTTAGGAATTCAGCTTTTATTTCTACCGGAATGTGTAAAGAATATATTTGCCTGCAAACATTGCCTTTTATTAGAACGGTGCTGTTTCAAGTCGGAGGAGGCTTGCAGGCTTAACCCAGAATCAAGCTGGCTCCAGGCCCGACTATGGTTTGAATCCTTTCAGCTTCATAATCCTGCAAAACCTCTGGATTTGAAAGTCTGGCAGTTGCAGGAAGGCTGCAGAGCCGAGAGGGAGGCAACTGCAGATAACGTGATGCTGCCTCTTCCTCTCCAAGCAAATCTGAAGCCAGGACTCAAAAAAAGGATGGTTTATTGCTGGCTTAGAAGAGGGGAACTGTCTGCCATGGACTTTGCTGGCTGGGATGGAGCTCAGCAGATGCAAGCAGGTCAACCGTGAATCCAGAGGTGACCCAAAGATTTTAAAAGCCGAATCACTCACTGGGGAAATATGGACACATGGCGAACAGCAGGAAGCCCAGGTAGGCCTCAACTCAGGGCCACAATTGAGCCCAAAAGGTCTGTCTCTAGGCGAGACAGTCCTCAAGTGAGTTTTGCCTCATTTCTGAACAGTTATTAAGTGAATTGCTGGTGGTGGGGGGGCCGAGAGGTGGAGCTCTTGCCTGACAATCAGGAGGCTGTGAGTTCGATTCTAGGCAGAGGCAGATAGTTCCCTCTCAGGACATGAAGAGAATATATCTGCTCAATATAACTCCGCATTGGCAACAGGAAGGGCATCCGGCCAGTAAACACTCAGCTCCATTCAGTTGCCCAGATTCCAAGGGATTATGGGGTCGTTAAAAGAAGATGATAATTAAGTGAATTTCCACAGTCTTTAAATCGCTAAGATTCACGTCTCAATTATGTGATCTGTTTAAAAAGTGCAAAAAAACTTTGTAAAATTGGACGCAACTCCCTGGACAATTACCTGGCCTACCAGTGTCCTATTTTTGGTTGTAAGTCAAATACAGCAGCAAAGTTCACAGGAGTTTTTTCTTTAAAAATTTGGGGAGGTTTTCAACGGGCTAAAAGAAAAGGTTTAAATGAAGCTCTGATCTCCCAAGCATTTAAGCTGACTTCATAACCTTTGATAATTCCTTTGCTTTTAATCTGATTATTCTAATTCCCGTAAACCAAAGGATCAGATCTGGCTAACGTGGAGATTTAGGGCGCTTGTTCAAAGCGTGAATCCCGAGGGAACTGAATTGAACAAGAATATGGATAGATATGCGTGTCCTTTTTTTTAAAGGCCTCTTTTCCTTTCTGTATCTTCCCATAACTTTCAAAAAGGAACTACAGGTAGTTCTCGATTTACAACATGCGTTTAGTGACCATTTGAAGTTACGACGGCACTGGAAAAGTTATGACTGTATTACTTTTATCCTTCTCATCTGTTCTATTCTCTTATTGGCATCACTTATTATGATTATTATTACTTTGATATATGAATATTTGCTGTTTTGCATGTACACCGACAGCTTCTGCGCTGGAGACAAATTGTGTGTCTAATGACACTTGGCCAATAAACCTATTCTATCCTATTCCTATTTCTTCTATTTCTATTTCTATTCTCAATAAAGATTCTATTCTATTCCATTCCATTCCATTCTATCCTTATTCTGTCCTGTCCGGTTTTCTGTTCTTTCTCAAAGACCAAGAAAGGGAATTTCACAACACAGGGTAATTTTTACAACCAAAGTGTCAGCAGATGATTAAAAAGAAAAGAAAAGTGTGTGTGTGTGTGTGTGTGTGTGAAGGTAAGTTACAAACTGGGGAGAAGGGAACGGGGCTTTTCCATTCTTCTTCTTCTTCTTATTATTATTATTATTTTGGACCCATCCGCCGGATTCCTCTGGCCACCCTGGCAAAGCCTCACCTGGTGATCCTCCGCAGGGGGAAGGCGGGGAGCGTTCCCTTCGATCCCATCAGCAGCTCCTGCCCTAGAGAAGCCGGTCACTCCGTTGCCCAGCGGTTGCCTAGTAACAAATTCCAATTAGCGCAGGAGAAGGAGAGGAAAACAAGCACGTTTCTAAGACCCTCCAAGAAGGACCCCAAAGGAAAGACACACACACACGCACGCACTAAAAATAAAAACACACAAAAAAAGCAGCGTCCAAGAACCAAAACCATTTATGTCCCAAAGGTGCCTTTTTTTTCAGGAGGCATCCTGGTTTTGTCTGTGAAGACGTTTCCCTTCTCATGCAAGAAGCTTCTTCAGCTCTGGTTGGATGGTGGGGAAGGATTGATGTTCCTTGCAGGCAGCTGGTCATTTGCAGCCTTTTAGAGGGTCGTTGAGGCCACTTGGAGGTTTATCTGTGTCCTCAGGGTCACCTGAGTGGTGCAAATGGTTCCTGTAGTCTGCAATTTTTCTTCTGGAAATCCATTCCTCCTCCCACTCCATTCCAAGGGCGTCCGTCCCAAACTGAAAGGTTAGTTCTTGGATGAGAAGCGAAATGTCTTCAAAAGAAAAAAACAAAAAAAGTCCAGTTGCCTCCTGAAAAAAGCCCCTTTGGGACAACCGTGACCAGGATGATTGAGAATCTCTACAGACTTTCAGCCAAACAATTTGGGATGGACAGCCCTGGAATGGGGTGGGAGGAGGAATGGAAAAAATTGCAGACTACAAGAACCATTTGCACCACTTAGGTGACCCTGAGGACGCAGATAAACCTCCAAGTGGCCTCAACGACCCTCTAAAAAGGATGCAAATGACCAGTTCTGTCTGCAAGGAACATAAATCCTTCCCTTCCCCACCATCATCCAGCCAGAGCTGAAGAAGCTTCTGGGATGAGAAGAGAAACATCTTCAAAGAAAAAACAAGAAAGTCCAGAAAAAGCCCCTTTGGGACAACTGTGACCTGCATGACTGAGAACCTCTACAGACATTTCCATGTTTATTCCACGTTTGTACAACGGCCGTAAGTGCGAAAACCAATCCTAAGTCACTTTGTTTCAGTGCCGTTGTAACTCCGAATGGTCACTCAATGAACTATATTGTAAGTCAAGAATTATTTGCGTTGGACAGGCATAATATTTCGCATTTAACTTCATCCTTTTAAGTAGAAATCCTCAAGATTTAAGTTTGGAAGTTTTCTAAGCTAAGCGTGTGTCTTCCCTCCTTTCATCTCCCCGGGCCTTCTGCCGGCACCAAGCTTTTCTCCCAAAATCCTGGCACGCTTTGCTACCTCTCTCTCTCTGATCACGCGGGGCAGCCCCTCCTCCGAGTCACGGGCGAATTGGCACCGTTAAAAGAGCGCATTTGTCAGCATTCAGCACGGAGGCAGCGCTTATAAAAAGGGAGGGTCAGCACTGACAGCTGGGCTCATTGTAGGGAAACCCAACCACTGAAAAATGCATCAAAAATCCGTGCAGCTCAAAATTCATGGACCTCCACTCGGAATTAAAAGGTGCAACATTCATTGTATCTAATCTCCGATCGATGCCATCTGGCATATGTGTGAAACCTGCTCTCCAGGTCTGCGATATTATTTGGGGGGGGGGGGGGGCAAGTGACATATGACCATCTCTTGGATGGAGAAGATCATCGCCTTCTCCTTAAACCGAAGTTATTTGAATGTTTTGGTGTTTAATTATGCAGGCATTCAGAAAGAATAAAACGCACACAGCAAAACATCGTTCTCCTGTTTGCTGATATTTCCACGTTGGGATTTTAAGGGATAAGTGTCCCTTTTTTTTAATGGATGAAAACTGTCAGGGAGACCAACAAAAAATAGAATGGAATGGACTGAAGGGACCTTGGAGGTCTTCTAGTCCAGCCCCTTGCTCAAGCAGGAGATCATATTCCATTTCAGACAAGAGACTGGCTAGACCAGGGGCCCCAATCTTTTTTGGGCCATGTCCCACCTAGGCACCTTTAAAATCTTGATCTCCCCTTCCCCCCGATGACATATAATTCTTACTTTACTCAAAAGGTTAACTCTACTCATGCGGAGGAAGCCTAAAAGGCCCTTAACTTGGTTTAAACAAGGTTCAAATGGCCCATGTTAAAAATCAAATCCCCTCTCCTTGTGGGGCATGGGCCCCACATTGGGAACCACTGGTCTAGACCAGGTGTGAAATGCTACCGGTTCACACCGGTTCAAACAAACTGGTAGGGACAATTGTCGTTGGTTCTGTGAACCGGTACTAAAAAAAAACTTCCGAGGATCCCGAGGCTCAGCTGTGAGTCGCACGGACCTCGGAAGTTTTTTTCCTGCTTTTTAAGGCATTTTTTCCCTGCCTATTCACTCGAAATGGCAGGAAAAAAATGCTTTAAAAGGCGGGGGGAAGCTTCCAACGATTGCGCGGCTCACAGCTGAGCTGCGCAATTAGCAGAAGCTCCCCCCCCCACTTTTTAAAAGCATTTTTCCCCCTGTTGTTTCAGGCAAATAGGTAGTAGAAATGCT